CTTTACATTAGTCATGCTACGTAATAAAAGAAAGCATGAATAAACAGCTGCTTCAATTGGTTTATAAAAAAAAGCGTCTTTATATTTTGTCGGTCTATAAATCCAATAAGCGGTAGGAAGATTAATTATGCAACAAAAATTGCTTTAATTAACTTATCTAATTTTTAAGAATACCATTAGTAGGAATACCGAAATAATACCGGTATTTTATTACGGTTTTCGGTACATATCGGTTTCGGTACTATAACGGTAACGGTATACAATCTTTAGTATAATACCGGTATTGAAATCATACCGGTAATAAGTCCCTGGTTCTAGCAGAACTGCCGGAGAGACACATGTATATATCCCTGTCTCTATCATATCATCCATCTTTGTCTCGATCTGCTTAGAGGGCGCCACCTACTAGACAGTTACCTACTATACTGGGTTCAAAAAAAAATCAAATCGAGAAGTAAATCTTATCGCGCATAGGAGAAGAAGCGAGCAAAGTAGGGATGGCGTTGCGTGCGAAATTGGCGGGACACTCGCTGACAGCCAATGGCTGTGGAGTGGGGAGACTTTCTTGTAGGAAAGATGCGCGAAACGTACGAGTTTTGGTTTATCCGGTTCTCTTCTTGATTTGAATTTAGTATAGACAGCGTAGCGGCTGAGTGGCTGTCGAATTGGAGTATCAGCATTATTGCTTTAGCATCTTCTTAAACAAATCATTATAAATTAAAAATAATTAGAATAATCTGAAGAAAACGTTGACGCGCGCACGATTCGTTATCTTTAACGGTGACAACGTATACTTACACGGAAAAAATAGGTTTGCTATTATATGTGATCAGCAAGAAAAATTGTTGAGTCTACTGAACGTTTTGTTTGGCCAACAAAACGTTTTGTTGGCAAAACATAAATCTTAATAAGCTTAGTAAATTTTTCTTGCTGGTCACACAGTAACTAATTTCTTGCTATTCTAGCAAGTCTTTTTTTTCGTGTACATGTGTACATATTTTTGTTTTTTTTTTATTTCTTTGTCTCTCCGATTACGTAAATCCGTGAGATTGATAGCGCATAGGAAATTGCATGAACTAATTTAAAGCAAACGGCGCGAACCAGCTGATAAGCTCACAGACATGTCGTAATTGAAAAAAATTGGAGCTCGTAGTATATTTTAGGTTTAGCCTAAATTAACTCGCCGCACGCAACGTCATATATCTAAACAGTACATTTATATAGATATGTAGACACAAAAGATTAAGGACATAAAGAACAGTTTGTTCTTATCGCGAGGAACACATGTATCATGATTATAAGGATATTTTTAAAGAAAGAAAAACAAAAAGAGAAGTTATATTTCTTAGAAAAATTAAATATATGTAATATTGCTTATCTCGATGTTGGCAGTGACAAACATGCCGCAAAGAATTTTCTTTCGTTTATGTAAATTTCCTATTGTGTCTGCGACCGACAATGCGAGCGATCTTCGGTGTAAGAGCGAAGTTTACCTGACCTGACATGAAAGATGTCAGAAAACGGGAACCTTTTTGCGTGTTATATAAGCTCGATCTTCGCATTTTGTATTCTAATGTTGTTCCGTAAACAGAAAATAGTATATATATAAATATATAAATAGTATATATATATGCGATTCACATTAATGCATTTTAATATGAGATAAATTTGTAGTAATGTACAATAATTTTTTTACTGTATATTCGTATAGATATTTCTAACAGAATTCTCGTTCTTTTCAGACTCGATTGACAGGTGGCCACATGGTGAAGCAGAGGAGGTTTATCGGGAACACCAATAACAAAATGATCAATATACGGGAACGTTTGTAGATAACATAGGGAGATAATTTTAAATCTGAATGTGGGACACGTTGTTGGCTCTCACTATAGCTACATGCAAAAGTGGATTTTGTATGCCCCGGGATAAGTTGGGAATTTTACATAGTGACGATTTCACATAGAAACGCAAAGCGCGTTGATACGTGTTTTAAAGAGAGTTTTACAGGTTCGACAACAACAGGATATATAGTAAAATATTTCACTGACCCAAGGAGATAAGCGCTGATTCCACGCATGTGATCACACATTTGTGATTTGATTTCATTTTTCTATTTTATTCAGATCTATCTTTTTTATGTTATCGATATACACGGTGAGTAGTTACACAATACTCTGTTTTTTTTTCATTAAAACAAAATAAAAAACAATGACATAAAACGAGATTGGCATTTCGATAGAGAAGACGCGTTTACGTAACGTTACGAAATATACGCGCAATCTCTTTGCGAAGTTTGCAAAAAAAAAAAAAATCACAGTAAAATTTCAATATCCAAATATGTACTGAATGAAGATAACATTTTCTTTTTTATCGTTTGTGCGTGTACTAAATTACCGCGTTACGTAGCACGCGATTATAAATATGTCATGTAATAGTTTGAAGCGACGCGATAATTGAATAATCGCGGTTATTCGATTTCTTTGGCTTTTCAATAACGCTGCGCTGTGAATAAGAAAAATAAATTCAGTTGAATTTTAAAACTGACAAATCTAGATTTAAAAATAAAGATTTTTTACAATAATTTCTATAAATACAAATAGACAATATTAATATCAAACAACATACTTTATCATTTTTAAACAAACATACTAACACAACACATTTTTTCTACATAATAAAATAAAATTGTACAATATAATAAAAATTGTAAAACAGATGAGACAAAAGAAAAATCCAGTTTCGAGTGGTTGTAAAATCAGGCCAGTTCGTAATGCAAAACAAATAGAAACTTACAAAGTCATTTATCATCAAATAAAGAAAAAGAAAATATAAAACGCACGTGTGGTAGGAACAATTTATCATCGTTTAAGCTAGATTGTTAAGAAATTGCGTGACATATTTACGGCAACGCAATCCAATAATCGAATAGCAAACAACTTCATTACGCAGCCAATATAACAATAATTTGTCAGCATTTTGTGCACATTTCTTGAACTGAGTTCAATTATTAAGACTAATCGAGAATCTCATTTCTTTTCCTACCTCTAATTCAAATGTCGTTAACAACAAATTGAGACAAATAATGTTCCTTTTATTTTCTTTTCAGATTTTAGATACCTTAAGAACTTTATAAAGAGAAGAAGGTTTAAACCTGAAGCACAATCTCTCTTGCGTATTATTCGTGCAGTATTCATTTCGTAATTTTTACGATATTAGTGCACAGAAAAAACTGACGAGAAGAAATTTGCTTATCGCACAAACACGGTGATCGAATTGTGCGAGAACATCAAATGGTGTTTTAATTCGGTTCTGAACAATTTTTGATTTTCGTGTGCCTAACCAGGCAGAGTTTCCTCATAATGGTAAGTAGTATTCCATAGATGCATGTTACTCCGATGTCTTTTGTTTTTATTTGTGAAATATAAAGTTTTTTTCGTTCATTGCGACTTGTAACAGCATTTGTTCCGAGTGACGTCTTCAACATTTCTTCAATTTTTGTATGAAAAAGTTGTTGAAAAAATTGAAAGAAAAGTTGTGTGAAAGGATTACGGACAACGATGTTTTTTATATTGCATGTTAAATTTGTTTAAACAAAAAATTCACAAGACGGTCTTCTTCGAATGACAATTTCCGCAAAAAATACGCTCGCGTAAAGTAAGACAAAGTGGCGTTTATTTTCCCAAAGCGAGTTGCATTAAATATTCGAACTGTCGATCGCGCGTTCGCTTTACATAGTTTACATAACTCGATCATGTAATAGAAATAGCAACGCACACATTGTATGTGAGCTGTAGATCGAGCGATTCCTCGAGTCGATAACCTTCGTCATGGTCACCGAGCGTCTCGCGAATTCGCTTTAGCAACTTCGGCTCGCGTTGTCGAACGCAAATGGAAATTTCCGCTCGATTCGCATCGTCCCAAAGATTTATACCTGGCATCTGCGTATTCTCGAGCGCAGAGAACCAGCTGTCATTTATGCAAATTCCAAGAAAAAAAATTTTGCAGAGCTCTTCGCATTAATCAATGTTTCCTGTTGCATTTAGGAAATCAACTTGTGTGGCTGATCGTTTTTAAACTCCGCGATTCAAACTGACCAAGTGCAATAAAAACCGTTTTACTTTTTGGAGCCTGAGAAAGCCGTCAGTTTTTTTTTCGCTTTGCGCGAGTCATTACAATGTTTTTTCAAAAAAAAAAAAAAAAANAAAANAAAANAAAGATATTTTTAACAATTAGTGATAAATCGAGATTACTCTCAGGCTCTATAAGTCTTATTAAACTAATAATATATGAATATAGGGACATGAAGAACCGTTCGCAGGATGTGCGTGAATGTGCTTTTAAATATATATATATATGTATACACATATATACTTCGAAATAATTTTTTCCCTCCATATAGGATGCTGGATTTGCATCAAAGATATTTTTTTTTCTCATACTGAATATCTATATAGCGTATTTTTTCTTATCCATATATTCTTCATAATCTTGAATAGATCATTAGTTTTGTAAGTTTGTATTAAAACACTGAAGAAGATCCCATAGTGGATCGAAACGTTTGTTACAACTTGTTTAAAATCTTAGAATTATAAAAGAATTATACCCGAACATCTGGTGTTAGTTTGTTATTGCCATTTTCTTAATTCTTTTTATTTAAAGATATTTTGGATTTTCTTTTGCAAATTGAATATAATTTTATCATGTAATATCTATCAATCTATTTCTCACGCTTAGAGTCGCAAGAAGTCGCTTTTAAAAGATACGTCATCTTGAAGAAATCGCACTTTACGTTTTAAATAATTAGTTTTTCCATATAAATTATTGTTCTTTCTTTAAAAATCTAGACAATCTCAATGTAGCGTTATAACAAAAACAATTAACATATATATCCTTCGTATACGAGAGATGTCCTCCGCACAAAATTGCTTTCTTGCGAGAGTCACATTGAAAATTAGAATGTAAAATGAGAATGTGGTGCACGTGCAAATAGAAAGATCTTGACGCAACAGGCGCTTTAGGTGCACCAGCACTAGTTTTGAACGCGAAACAGTGCGCTCTATTTGGCGCGAATCGGTTGTTCTTTTAGCAAAACTCAAAAAAGTGCCGCCGAGAAATTCTTCGATAGTTTGTTCACTTTTATGCCGACACAAACAAAAAAAGATAATCCAATACGCGCGTCGCTCATAAGCTCATAAGCGGGAACTTTCCGTCTGCTAGAATTCGGTTTGTGTGCATCGGGTGATGTTTCATTTGTTATATGATTACTTCACTCGTATCATCTCGATTAGATTCAACGATTCACGGCAATCAAAAACCGTGTTAAGTTTCATTCGAGAGATAAACGACACCGCTGATCACGCTCGTTGTGAAAACCGAGACACAAACAAAGCTTACTTCGTGCACGTGAGATAATACACGCGAGAAACTGCCGATAGAGTGTTGACTCTGTTATTATAAATGATCAGTTCTCACGTGGAAATTAATAGAACTGACTATTTCGCAGAAGTTTAAATAGCAGAACTGTTTTCCTCTACTTTTCCTCGTGCTACTTTATAAATAAATTAACGTTTGCTTCAAGTGTTATTTCTTCTTTCGAGACACATCGATCTTGATCGATCTCGAGATATAATTACCGGCTGATTCACGCGATCGCGTTTTGATGTCTACATCCCGAGTCGAAATTTAGCGTCTACATTGAATTTTTGAATTTTGAATTTTGAATTTTGAATTTTGAATTTTGAAGTTTGAATTTTGAAGTTTGAATTTTGAAGTTTGAATTTTGAAGTTTGAATTTTGAATTTTGAATTTTGAATTTTGAATTTTGAATTTTGAATTTTGAATTTTGAATTTTGAATTTTGAATTTTGAATTTTGAATTTTGTATTTTGAATTTTGAATTTTGAATTTTGAATTTTGAATTTTAAATTTTGAATTTTAAATTTTGAATTTTTTACACTCAATTTTTGAAAAAAGGAAATTTCGGACGTATAGCAGCGTCAAAGTAGGATCTGCTTTCTCTCTCACTTCTACATAAAAAAAGAGGAATTGAGGTTCAATGTAGACGCTAAATTTTGACTCGGGATATGTATGTGTGTAAATACATACACACACGCGCGCGCGCGCGCGCGCATATTGTGGCTACTATATGTGAAAAGTCCAGAAAACTTTATCGAGGATTAGAAAGACTAATCCTCGCATCTTAATTTTAACAACCAGGCCGAAATCCCGCTGAAGCAACGGGTTCGCGAATTCTGAGCGGAATACGAGCTCTTTCAAACTCCTACTACCGCGCATTTAAAGACACAAAGGTTACAAAGTCAAAATAATGCGAGTTCTGAAGCAAAAGCAACGTAAACAGTTTCGGTACGCTGTTAATCATCACGTAACAAGCTATCTGATTAAGTAATTGACAGGCGGCGCGACTTACGCCGAGGAAGACGATTGCCGCAGCGCTACGCGCTCACTGTCGCGCGTGCCGTATAAGAGATGTGAGCTTGCTGCCGGAATCCTCACGTGTGAAGTGGTGAAAAGTGTTTAAGTGCCGACGATCCGCCAGGCAAAGGCAGAGGTTACGGGTTAGAGGTCAGCTGCCGACAAACGTGAGTGCCGCCAAATTCTTCGACAGCTGTGCGTGCCGCGTCCGGGCGATTTTTCGTATTTTTCGAATTTCAACGAACGCTTTCTCAAAGTTGCGTTAGCTCCGGTTTCCGACGCGAGTCACGACAATGCGGTTTTTATTACAAGTGATCTCTTTCTCTCTTTTACGTGGTCGCAACGGTCCGTCGCGTATATCGTCTGAATTTCCGTGTACAGATCAAATTATTTTCTGTTTACTATTTGTCGTTCTATTGTGTGAAAGTTTTCTTAATTTTCGTGCCGTATAGAGTGACGCCAAAGCGTGTCTTTGGGTAAAAAGGGAGCGGCTTCTGACATCTTAATTTTGACATGTGTTAACATGGTCATGATTCAGAATGAGCTTCAAAAGATTGTAATGCTCACTGTTTGTTAAAAAGTTATTAACAAAAAATGATACGACAATAAAATAAAGTTTTTTATACATAAAAGTAAACTCATAATTGTAAACTCGGAAACCTACGTGGAACAGTATAATCGTAGATTTTCTTTCACCCTTAAGCAGGATGGAGAGAGGGGGTTGACCTTCGCTTTGCGTGGAAAGTCGAAAACGCACGTGGAACAGAACAATTACAGACTTCGCTTTGCTCCGTAAGCGGAGGAGAAAGCATGTTTGGTATAAAATAAATAAAAACTAATGATAAATATTGCAATAAACTTGAAAAAAGTACATGCTTATAAGTGGGAGAGCGCAGGGAACGGGCGTAGCTACATAAAAAAAAAAAAAAAAAACAAAACAAAACTTGAGAATGTGGAAAGTATCAATGATTGAAAATACTGCTTGGAAAGTATATACCTGGAGTTTATTTCGCCTCTCTCCTACGGAGAGGCTCTATTATGGAAAAACTTGACACATAAGTTTATAACTTTAACTTAATAAACATTTTTTGTTAATCACTTGTTAACAAACAGTGAGCATTACACTTAAGAGGGTACTGGATACCGACTATAGCGACCTGTAAACCGACGTTCTTAAATCAGATTCTGTGTCGTATTTACGGCATCAAATCCAAAATGCTTCTCCAGAAATAAATGAATTGTGTTAAGAATTTGCTGGTGTACTTTAGAATGTCAAAATTCAGCACAAATTTTTTCTTAGACAGTTTTCTTCTATAACCTCACCATATATTCATATATGTAGAATTATTTCTAAGGTTATGTACGTATTTGTACTGAATTACCGCCAAACATACGACGAAAACAAATCGAATGAGCTATTCAAATTATGATTTGACTATCTCATTGATGAGAGAAATCTGAGTTCGTGATGATGTGTATTTGATACCATATACTATCATTATGAATGAAAAACAAGTTCAAAAAAGCATTATATACCCATTTTCAAAAGCTTTATATAGTTTTGTATATTTATTTGCTTCTGTAGAAGCTCTTTTAATGTTGTGCAGTAAATAAAATTAAAAAATATAGAAATTTAGGTTTATAAAAACGTCGGTTTACAGATCTCTATCCAGTTTACAAGCCGGGCTCCAGTATCCTCTTAAAACCTTTTGAAGGTCACTCTAGGCCACGACCTTGATAATGTAGGATTTGTTAAAAAATTAATTAAATAAAATAGGCACTTCATTTTATATAAAAGTGTATTAATTAGCTTTATTATAACTAAGATAATAATATATATAGATACAACTCGAAGAACAGCTTTAACAATCTGTCGCGCTATCTTCCACGTCTCTCGATCTATTCTTATCGACGGCTACGGACTCTCCTTA